GAACATCCCTTGGGGTGGGCAGGTTGGTCGATTACTCACGCCCTCGGGCTGGGTGACCTCTTGTTTAGAATATTCCTCGCGGGTGGGCAAGTGTGAAATTGGATTCCCCACGACCAAGACCTTGGAGCCTAGTGAGAAGATACGAAGATCAGAGAATCGAGATGACGGGGCGAGATGAGCGGGATCTCAAAACCCGGCGAACAAGCACCCAATAAACGGGCGCTAGGATAAAGAGGTAAAGAGAGACGAAGCGGTGTAAAAAAAAAAAAAAAACCTATCATGTTTAAGGCCGTGAGGCTGGATGGTTGCATGTTTCGACCACCTCTGAAGGTGGGCATGTGTTCAAAAATCTAAAACCCATCAAGTTTAAGATCGTGAGACCGGATGGTCGCATGTTTCGACCACCTCTGAAGGTGGGCATGTGTTCAAAAATCTAAAACCCATCATGTTTAAGGCCGTGAGGCTGGATGGTCGCATGTTTCGACCACCTCTGAAGATGGGCATGTGTTCAAAAATCTAAAACCCATCATGTTTAAGGCCGTGAGGCCGGATGGTCGTATGTTTCGACCATCTCTGAAGGTGGGCATGTGTTCAAAAATCTAAAACCCATCAGGTTTAAGGCCGTGAGGCTGGATGGTCGCATGTTTAGAACATTTCCGAGGATGGACATGTGTTCAAAACTCTTATGTGAAGGGTGCAATGTATGTGTGGTGCATGTTATAGCAAAAATCTGGATAATCAATCAAGTACAAAGCAAACACACTAGCATAATTAATGAAAAGAACCGTTGAGGAGGCATACAAGAATATCAAGTCAGCTTATTCAAAAGATAATCGGCAACAAAGACAAATTAAGCAAAACATTCATATATCCAATAGATTATGAATAATTGTCAAGAGTACATCGCTCAAATTCAAAAAATAAATTACAATAAAAGGAGTTAATCTAAGGAGGAGGAGTTGCGGTCGAGTCTGTGTTTCTCTTATTAGCGTTTGGCTCGGGCGGATGGCTGGTCCCGGAGGTTGAGTCGCAAGCTTCTTTAAGTGGACGTTGGCGAATAGACTCAGTCAGCATGACCAACATCGAGGCTGGAGGAGTTAGACCATCGGGCAGAGCATAAGTTTTCTTCAAGATGTCGGATCGAGCCAGAGTCTTTTTAAGTAGCCCCGACCACCACTCGTGCTCGGGTGGTAAGTTAGGATCGCCCTGGAAGC